AGACTAATGCAAAAAAGTGCTTTCAACACTTCATCTGACAGATTTTTCCCTCTGTTGAGCAGAAGAAAAACACTGCCTCTCATTAGTAATGTACTTAGAATAACTTCTTGTTGCTTCTTGTTTTTTGCTGTGACTTTTCTGATTTTATCGCTACATGTTTGTGCTCGTGTGCTTGACCCTAGTATGCTGGTCTTGTTTCCTGTGGCTACATTCACTAAAGATCTAATGATTTAGCAATGTTGGTCTCTAGCTGTACTTTCAGCCTGTTCTCCAAAATAGGACAGTTTGCCTTTGTGCCCTTAGTATTTTTTTAAGGAAACACTTGGTCTTTTAAACTCTTTTATCCAGCCTCCCCAGAGACCTCACTTACCAGTTCTCTCAATTAACCAAAGTCTGAAATACAATTCCTCCTTTCTAACCCAAGAATAGCTATTACTGTCTTAAAAACCTCTTCCTTACCTCTCTGTCATTGCAATCTGCTCTAGCATTGCGGAACCTGTGTTTGCCTTCCAGTTTCCAGAGATGGACGTCCTCCTAGGAAAACAAACCAAAAACACAACCTGAACATGAAAATACACTCCTTCCCCATCCTCCCTCATACTGTAGTCCTCATTCTTGACTCTGTGCTTGTACAGGAAGGGATGAGGCTAGGTTCTTCCTCACAGAAGCCTTTACAAATCCTGCCTCAACAACAGTCTATACAGGACATGTTGTTCAGATGCATGAAAGACTGAATGAGAAGTTAGACAGGAAACCAAGGAATCTTGAGCACACATCAAGCTCTATGAGTACTTTCATTCTTTATATATCAGTCTCAGGAGAGCTGAATATCTGTAGAAGATCTTAGGGATAATCACCCTTGTGTTCTACATCCTCCATCCATGGAGGAGCAACTGTACAGGTAAATATCTGCCTAGGCAGCTTCACTAATGTCAGCTATGACATTGTAGGTCTCCCTAACTTTTACTTCAGTTGTACTGGTGTCATAGAAAATATTATTATACCCTCTTTTCACTGACTTTTCATTGATCTGTCTGTGACTCACTGTATCTGGATTTGGAGAATTTGTAATTGTAAAATGGTTGGAGTATCATTAGCTGCAACTGATGGTTAATTTCCAGAAAAGGTACTGTTGCTGGCAAATCCTGGGTTTCATAAAAAATTTCCTTTTCTTGACCTTAGTCACCGATCAGACCTTGGACACCCTGCTGTGAAAACACTGTGCAGATAACCCTGGCATAGTGTACAAGCTAGGACAAGTTAGTAAGCTGGCAGGATACATCCAGGGAGCATGTCTATGTTGAAGGAGATTTAGGTAGAGATTTAGGAGGTAAGAATGAGGTGTGATCCAGCACTTCAACATGAGGTTGTGGGAACCCTCTGTGCCAGTTCTCTCACCTTTTCAACATAATGTGGAAAAGAGACTGAACTTGCAAAACTATGTGGAGCAGTGGTAATACTGATGTCCTGCTAGACTGTAAACCTGGATCATTATAGTTGACTACCTAAGGTTCCCCTTTACTCTGGTGAGTGACAGCCTCATATCCTTTTTCCATTTCTCCTCTGAAGTGGCATGTATAATTACTGTGAAATTTAAATGGTCTTTGTAGCTCATATTTAAAGGAGTGGGAAGGGGGCCAAAGGAACACGATTCTTGTGTTGAATAACTGTTTCCATATAGTTAGCTCTTGTCCTTTGTTCCCTTCACCCAACATTGATCTTCCTGCCCTACTTTCTAAGCAAAGGTATGGATTCCTTCTCAAGCTTTGATTGTTACAAGCCCTTTGATGGCCTGTAAGGTCAATGTTCAGCTCTCAGCCTCTCTTTTTCTTTTGACATGGGTTCTTGGAATTATGTTTTTCAGTTCCGCAATGGGAAGAACCATTCTTTATTAATTTTTAGGTTCAGAAAATTGCCCTGCAGTGGCAGATGGCATCCAAAATCCCATTAGTAGTGATGAGAACTCCTGGAGTCTGATTAGTGACAAGATGATTAGATATCACTGTTTAGAAAATGTACCTGGCATACTGACTGTAAGCAGCTTTGTCATTCCTAAGAAAACCAAACCACAGCTACACAGTTTTGCAAGGAAATTTTATGTGGGAAAGCTCCCAAAATAAGAACTCTGCTCTGGCCGTTGGGCTGATTGGTTTGACTTGTTTATGCCTATCCGTCTCCAGACAATATTGGGCATAACATATAAAATATTTATCTCAGCTGTATCCCTAACTTTCCTGTTAGGGAACTTGCCTGTTTTTGAACAGAAAAACTTCATTTAAGGCCCTCTGGACGTCAACCAGTTCCTACTCCACAGTTTCAGTCAAGATCACTCCCTTCCAAGCATGTCTGAGCAGGTGTCCAGTGTGCCACCAAATTCTTCTTATTTTTTCTTTCCCTTTTTGTATTCAATCTGAGATAGAAAAGGAGACTGAAGACAAAGATCTTTCGCTAAGATACTCTGCCTCAAACCCCATTTCTCTCAGGCATGCCTCAAAATCAAAGTGCTCTAGTTTAGACACAGTTGAAGTTGTAGCCCCTGCGAAGAATATTGAACTGCATTTGATGTGAAGAAATCAGAAGTTGTGCTTATGAAACGAAAAAGGAAAGGATATTGCCCTCTTACTAAGAGCTGGTGGCAAGGAATATTCCACCCTTGAAAGTCAGCAACTGCTGGCTTCATTCAAAGTGAATAGCATTTCACAAGTCTTAACTGGAAATGATCCCTCTGTTTACCCCTAGTTGGGGTAAGGGTGGAAGTATCATTTCTGCCCAAATTTCCACTGCTACATGAACAGTATTCATGTTTTCTCTTCACCAGTATTACAATGTCAGTCAAATACATTTGGTGGAATTTTAGACATGCATCACATGCTGCTTATCAGCTGTTTTGAGACTGGCCCAAGGCATGGGCTAAGTAGGTGTTTGTTAGTAGTGTAAATCTGGAGTCACTGCACTGAAGTCAATGGGAAACTGAACTCAAGCCTTGGGTCATGAGCTGGAAGGAAGTGCATTGAACATCTGGGGCAGGGAGGAATGCATGAGTCACCCTGCAGCATCCTCCCTCTGGCAGATGCTTGGTGCAAAGTAAACATATTCTGGAGAATTTCAGTACACAATCTTTTCTCAGAAGGAAGGGGGCTTTTAAAGTCTATATGTGTGGGTGAAGGTATAAAAATACTGGGTAGATTCCATGGCTCACGGATCAAAGCAGTTCATTTAGTATGACACTACTGCAGATGCTGTAATTGCCTTTAAGGCTGAGATTTACTAGCATGACTAATGATTTTGAGTCTTCTATTTGAGACACCAGTGAGAGCTCTGATATTTTGGGTGCTTTTACCTCTGTCCTTGGACATAATAGAGACTTATTTATACCATAGAAATAACCTTTTATTCTGTCTGATGCTTGGACAGAAGGAGCAGCCTCTGGCTATACTGCTTTCCCAAGCTCACATTCATAAATGGCTCTCTCAATATAAGTCAGCCTTCTGGGTTATCAAATTGCTGGGTGAATTTTGCTGTTTGCTTTCTTTGCTAATAAGCTTCATTTCTCATTAAGGTGTTTCCCATTCATGGCTGTTTTAATTTGAAAACATTTTTAATTTAGCAAACGATTGTTTGTGCAGCTATATTCCCAAGTGGGATTAGCTCTTAGTGTGACTGCTTTCTTTCCTCAGTCATCTGGTATTATTTCTGATCCTTGTCTGGATGAGTGCGTGGTGAGTGCGAATAATAAACAGAGGGAGGATATGGTCAGGCTATCTGGGCCTTTGTTTCACTTAGAGGCAGGCTGGGAGCGGGCTCTGGAGCCAAGGCTGGGTAGGTTGGCAGGAATAGGGAATTTTAATTGATATTTTAAACCTTCCTTCCTTTGGTCAATTTGAGCTAGACTCCCTGAGATGTTAATGTAATATTAGGCAACTGTGCTATTGTTGACCTGATGAGATTTACAAAAATTTTCCTCTCATTAAGTTCATGTGAAGTAGCTGAGTGTCCCACAAGTCCTTCCCATGAAGAATGTGACTCAGTCATTATCTAGTTTACTTAAATACCTCTGTGCTAGGAATCCAACTGGGAATTTTAGACAGCTATAGCTGAAAAAATATGTGATCATTACATTTGATTATCTTATTTAACTATGTTTTGCCAGAACTATGGCCTGGGGGTTTGTAAACATGCACTCAAAACTCACAGTGTAGTGGGTGTTTGTTAGGTAAAATTAAATTTATCTGGTGACCTGAAGAATGTACTGCTGGAGCTGTCTACTTGTCCAGAATTTTGTGGCTGGATAAGGAGCTTCTGGAGAAGCTGTGCTATTTGGCTTTTCTCAGCTACTGGTTTGCATTAAGAAGAAACAGGTGTCTTACTGACTCATGTGGTTACATCTTTAATTGAGCTTGACGACTACTGAAGTTTGGCTGAACACTTCTTAGTATTTTTAAACATATCGGTGTTGAGGGTTGTCTTCATGCCACCTTCCTCACTGCCCCATGGGGCAGGGAGGAGCTTTGGGGCACAGAAGTGTCTCTCCTTCTCCTTTCCCTCCTTTGTACACTTCAAGGAGCACGCAGGCAAAATGCCTGTGGAAACCCTGCACACTGACTAGGGTGAGGCTGTTTGTACCTGATGCTGTGTGCTCCTTGTGTCCTCGAGTGATTGTGCTGCCGTGATCTCCAGCTGGGGAGAGGACAGGGTGTTGCTGTGGGTTGGACACTGTAGAACGCCGTGAGTTGCACTGGCTCAATCTTTTTTATTGTCTCCCTCAAGTGGAAAGAGGGTGGGTTTGGTTCCCACTAGAGGGTACTGGGAGCTGGAGGATTTTGCGGGGAAAGATGAGCCCTTTGACAACAGGAGGGAGAGGTGATAGGTGATAGCAGAACACAGTTGTTATAGTGGGAACTAACTGCATCTCAGAAACAGGTAGAGAGATTTACCTTCCAGAAACAATGAGCTGATGGTGAGTAATGGAGGAGATGATCGGTGCGTGAGAGGTCTGGGTTCAGAGGTGGGAGGAGAACAGCAGGGCTATTCTTCAAGGAAACTAAGTCAGCTTCCTACTCCTGCCCAGAGCAGACACTGATTGAATCACATCCACAGCACTGTCTCCCCCCCGTCTCACTCTGGCATAGCCACACACTCACATGTAAGCCTTGTAGTTGCTGCCGATTTTCTGGATTCGGATGTCGTACTTGGAGTCAATGAATGGCTCGGTGGTGGCGTAGGTTTTTGCCATGGCTACTATGCTGGCCATGTCCCGGAAGTCGTGCTGGTTCTCAACTTTGACCTTGATTGCCAAAATCCAGTGAAAAGTGACAAGAGCAAAAAGAAAAGGAATACTTTGTGAGGAGAAGTCACCTCTGCACCTGAATAGCACAATGTCTTAAAAACCACACAGACAGAGCTGAGGACAGAGCAAGGATTGAATGATTTAAAGAGAAAAATTCCCCAGACCAACCCAGCCCAGAGCAGATCGATGCTTTTCTCCTTCTTCATGCACAAGTGCTGGCAAACCTGGCACCAAGGAGACAGCTAGACCTTTGCCCAGATGGTTCTTGCTAATGCTCTTTGCTTTTACGATGCTTCCAAAAAATATTTGATCTCTTAAGGGGCATTACTGCATTCAAACATTGGAACTGCTATTTCCCATGTTGGGATGGATGAAAAGAGAGTATTTTGGGTAGTCAGGAAATAGAAACCAATGCCAGGAAATCAACAAGAGAGCTGGTTGTCTGCCACCTCTAGGCTTCAGTTCTCTGGCATTTCACTTTACCCCCCTTCAGACTTTCTTGAGGGGCAGTGCGTCTCCTGGCTTGAAGCAAACTCTGAAGGAAAAGAATGTCTCTGGGGGAGCCTGTGATTCTCGGAGAGATTTGTGTGAGCATGATGCCATGGGCGCGTGTGTGGGACAGCTGGTTGGCTGTCAGACTTGAATCGCACTTGGAAATGAGAGGGCAATGGAGAGCTGGAGGTTTTCTGAGAAACTGACTTTTCACAGGTTTGTATTCAGTCATGGGAAATGCTCTGTGTCTTATCAAAAAAAAAAAAAAAAAAAAAAAAAGAAGAAAGAAGGACCTAAACAGTGGAAGAACAATAGTGGACAACTTCACCTCACTCATGCTATCAGCCCCAGCCTTTAGTCTATTGGCAAAAACCTGCTTGGCACATCAGAGAAACATGTGCAATTCTTGTTCCTTAAAGCAGGACGAATGCAGGAAGGGTGGGTTAGTTGGCAGAAAAAAGGCCAACACTATGTGAAAAGGGTGAGCAAGTGAGTGACTTTCTTTACATATTGTACTTCGGTAACACTTTGAGACCACAATTGGGGATTGCAGCCCCACTGTGCTAAGTGTCTACTTGCTCGTGACAACTGGTCGGTCTCTGCCCCAGAAGAGTTTCCCAGTTGCGTCAATGTGTGTGTTAAAGGAAGGTGATGCCAGACTGTGTGGAGCCAGCTGAAGGAAACGCGTGCAATGGTATTTGGTGTTTCTTTGCAAAGAACAAACAAATGGCTTTACATATCTGCCTTCAACCATGAGAGGGCAGGAGCCATCTTCACTAGAGAACAGAGGACAAGCTTGTTTCTGACCTGTTGTATTCTGTTTAGATGGTGTTCTGTAAGTGCCAGTCTTAACAAAAGCCAAAGATCATTTGTACCACATCCTGGTACAGAAATGCTCTTGAGAACTGGACAGGTTGTGGGGAAGGTGAAAAGTGCAACTACTTTGACCCATGACCATTTATGCCTGAATTAAGAAGAAAAAAGGCCTGATCTTTGCTTCTCCTTTTGCTGAATGCCAAATACCCCTAATCCTTCTCGCTTTTGCTCTGGTGAGGGTTGTGCTCTCACTATTCAGGGACTGCTGAGAAAAAGGAGCAGAGGAAGACGATAGTAGTCTGTGGTGGGAGGGTGGAAAAAAAAAAGGGAAATAACAAACACAAAGGGGAAATGTAAAGGCAACCGTTGCACTTCATCCAGGAGAAGCAGCCTTACTCTGGGCTGTATTGTTCTCCTCTACGTCTGAGTGGGATTGCGTGCAGTGCCGGCTGCTCCTGGCACAGCAGGGCAGGGTGAGGTGGTAGGAAAGCCCTCAAGGTGTCAGGGGAGTGGGAGAGGGGAGTACCTCACAGGGGGGCAGCCCCCAGACTGGGTACGGCTCACAAAATCCCACGGGCGTTTTGCTGCGTTGGGACTCACTATTTTTGTTGGACTGATAAAAGCAGCACTGGGCTGAATGACATCAAGTGGCATAGTCCCACCCAGATGAGATGATTGCAGGAGGGACAGCATAGGCAGGTGACGCACGGTGTTATGACATATTCTCCCAGACCCTTTTGGCAATGGGAAAAGACAAAAGCCATTATATGATGACCTGCTTGGAACAAGGACATTTGTGGGATCTGAAACAAAGTGCCGTGCTTGTGCAACAGATGTCTTTGGGCCCCGGTTGAAACGCTTGCATTCCCAGCACAGGAACATTTGTCCTAGAGGCAGAGGAAGGGATGCTGCTTCCTCTCTGGAATGGAATTAGACCATATTGTTATTGCTAGAAAGGAGCTGTATGCTTGTCTCATTAAATGGCATTTTTCCTCAAAAATACAGCATGCTGTATTTTTGAAAAGGAAGGGTCCATTTCTTCCTCCTCTCCATCACCCTTCCCTCTCTGGGCAGAGAGGCATTCTCTCAAGTGTTTTTAACACCTTTAAGTGTTTTCTGTAATGGACCTGAGGATTTTTGGCTGGATAAATAGTTAAAGAGGGGAAAACTCAATGAGGACACAGAGTAAGAAATGAAAGCCAAAGAAGATGACTCCCACAGAGCTACACCTCAGGAAACAGCTCTGCCATCTTCCCTGGCCCATGCCAGAGCCCTTCCTGTGGACTTTTCAGAGAAAGCACCTCACAGAGGTCTCCTTTTAGGAGATCATGACCTTATTTCCCACCAGGCATCAAAATAATCACCACACCAAAGCTGAAATCTGAGCCACCGTTTGTTAATTCTTAAAGCTGGCCAAATTTGACAAAATAACAGCCGTGTCCTGGGTTAACGCTAGTTTAGTCCAGGGTACAGTTTTACTTCATAAACAGGAAGCACTCAAGTTACAGTCAAATTAGATTTATTTTCCTGCCTTATCTATCAAGTCCACCATTTTATTAGCTTTCTACTTTTAAGTTTTGTATAATTCACTTCCTCCTGCCTTGTAACCCTTTTACATGTCAATAAAATATCCATTCTCCTAATAGGAGAAAAAACCCTAGAGATGATAACCAAAGCCAGAGTGGAGGTAGTGTGACGCCAGAGGGCATTATTTAAGAAAGAACTATTCAAAATAATTCTAGAGCAAACAGTTAACAATTTACCTAATAAAGGATAAATCTATCTTCTAAAATGGCAGGTTGGCCAATGCATGAAACTGAGAAAAGAAGTTGGAAAGAGATCAACAGGAAGCCATTTCTCTCTTTCTCTCTCTTTTTTTTTTTCTTTTTGCATCCTTCGTAGGATAAATGCGATATCCCATTAGCTGCGTAGAGGAGTGCAAACAGCGAGTGCAAACACAGCCCCTGCCCTGGCAGCCTGTTTGCTTAGCTGTGCTGGCTGTTTGAGCAGCAATAGACTCATTCTGGAGCCATCAGCTGCTGTTTGCTGTAGCGTTTTAGTGACCTGTTGTGAAGAGTTTGGGCCAGTGTGTTGACAAATGCCTTTTCTGAGGAAGAAAGCTCCCCAGGAAAGTCCCTGCTTCCCTTCTGGCTCTCTTCTCTAACCCAGGCACCAGCCATGCCCTAGCATGCTTCTTGTTGCTGCCCTGAAGAAGAGAGGCTGGCTGGATCTCTGGGGACATGCTCACACAGATGTGACTGTCCCTTTGCCCTGTGATGGCAACTCAGAGGCTGATACTACATGACCTGAAACTGGTGCCTGTTTCCATCCTCAGTCTTCCCAAGAGGCACTGATCTTGCTGCTCGGCTGGAGAGCAGTCCAAGGAATAGGTCTGGAAGAAACATTTCTGTCCCATCCCTGCTCTGGACCTTCTTTTGAGGCCTTCCTGCAAGACAGGATTTTGGAGGGTGGATCCTGGCATTGTTAAAACCCTGCTGTGCGTATTTCCCAGGCAGTCTGAGCCTAGGTTCCTGCAGTGGGGGACCTGGGAAGAAATTTCTGCTTCCCCTGTCTCATAGTTCCCGAATCTACTGCCTCTCATATATCCCAGACGTTCCTAGACACCAGGGTCCCAGGCTACAGCATTCCTCTCGTCTATAGCCTAAACACTGCAAGGTGTTGCCTCACAGTCCCCTTTTGCTTTCATTGTTTACGTGGCCATATGAAAAAATAGTCAGTCAGCCAAAGTGGCATAATTATAGTTGTTTGCTAGGGCTGCCCTAGCCTTGCCTCTCTGAGTGTCATCCAGAGTGAAATCTGCCTCACACCATGTTGGAGATGGTTTGCAGAAGCAGTTTCTGTGTCCAAATTGGGGTTAGAGGCAGGTTCAGCTGGAAGGTAAGTGTCCAAGGCTGAACCAGGACCAGGCTTGGCAACGTGGTGTTGAACTGAATCTTGGTAGGCTTGTGAAAATATCTGAGTGTTTTCCTCCAGAGGAACTGGTGTGGCCACACAAAGCTTCTGATTTTTTGTCCATCTTGACCTGTGTTTAGCCTTTCTGTAGTGACTTTACCGTTTTTGGACAGCAGGTCTTCAGGAATGGCTCTGCACAAAGTGTTTCCTGAGTCTCTCCTTCCCTCTACTCCAAATTATACTCCCCTTCTCAGAAAATACCTGATCCAACCAACACACAATCAGTTTAGGCTGAACTTTGACCCACCTCAAAATAATAAAGATGCAACAAAGTCTGCATTTCTTTATTATCCTCACATTGAAGTTCTCCAGATGTTACACTGACTTTAATGCATTAAGCCTTATAATCCATACTGACTTGCTAACAAAGAGCTGCTCTCAACCCCAAGTCTTGGCAGCTTTGGTCACCAAGATCAGTCACCATTTTCTGCCTCTAGCAAAAGGTTCCAGACTGATGTGGAAGAAATAGGGATGCTTTTGCTATTTTCAAGATGGGTGGTACCTCCTTGCTCATGAGTCAGTGGGAATGCAGCGATTGGGCTGCTCTGTTGTGAATGTTACATGTCAAGTAATTATTTGTTCTCTGTAAAAGAAAATATTTGTTCCTTGACAAACTGAGGCAGCCCTTTCCCCTTCCTTTCCTCTTTAGCACACTGGATTTTCAAAGCTCTCACTTTTGGAACATTCTATTTCCAGTCCCGAGAGAGACAAGGTGACGAGCTGTCCTTCCTGATAAAAAGCTTGCAGTATTTTTACATTACAGAGTGGCTCTGTTTAGTTTGTGCTATATTTATACCAACAAAAAAAAAAAGAAAAAAAAAAAAAGAAGAGAAGTCTTTCCCATCCAGTAAGAGAGAAAATAACTCTGACCACATTATTATGAACAAGTTTTTCTTCTACAATGTAATAAATTCATCTGAGCCAGGATTTGTACTGGGGAGGCGTTTTCATAATTATGGGGTAGGAGGGGACAGGAGGTGACTCTTAAACTAGCCTAATTAGAGTGGTGTAAAAATAAAGTAAGAGTAGCAAAATATATGTATTTATTAAATTCTTATAAATATATATAAAGCCACATGAACAGGTACTGTTTTTCCTCTTTTTGCAGATCTGGCAGTTGTTTCCTTCTCATGATCTGATCAGGAAGAGGTGAGGAGGCTCTTTGAGTGAATTTGCAGTGCTGGGCTCTGTTCCTAGGGTACTTTAGGTTCATGTTAGCACACAAATGGCAGATGTTGACACCCTGAGAGCTTTATTCTTTTCTGTGGGCTCTGGCATTATGAGATCAGGAGTCAGGAAGAAGTGTTACTCCTTTCTCACTGTAGTGCTCCTCCTATTCAACAGAGACCCCCCCCAACCACATCCGGAGTAGGTAAACTCAAACTGCACAATGCTTAAAAATGCCTTGAACTTTACATACTGCTGGGTGAACAATAGTTCAGTTCTGTGCAGGGAAGGACATGTCCTCTCAGTGTTCATCCATGGTTTCCCTGGAAGAGTCCTTGAGTACTGTTGGCCTCATGAGCCTGAGCAACTTAAATACAACGTGAGAAAGGTCCTTCTCTGCTAACTCCATTGTAAACCTTTGCCTAAACAACATTTTTGCAGATACTGTATTTGTATATTGTCGATACTGTATTGGACCAGCAGCACGCAGAGCACTTGTTATGATCCAGTGTCAGTGGGATATAGTGCGACTTCCAATTTTGGAAGGGGAATAACGATGGTCATGGGTGGGGCTTGAGGGGTGTATGTCCTGTTTGTAGATGAGAAGATTGTCTGGGACCCCTTTGTCTCTGTGGGTGAGGGCTATTCCTAGTGTCTGTATTCAAGTCAACAGGGAAGCCGTTCTTTCTGTGTTTCTCAATGGAAATTTCAAAATATACCTTTTATTGCAAATTTGTTTTCTTCATCTTCACCCGCACCTTACATGCCTGCATCATTTGGCAAGAGCACTTCTATCACTAATTTTATACTGCCACCCTTTTTCATTCTGATCTTTAATACTAACTGTTCCTCTTCCAAGCCAAAGACAGTCAATAGAGCCTGTTTCTTACAAGTCTTAACATAGTTATTTTTCATTTTAGCTTTGAGAATTCTCTATGTAGCCTTCTGGTTAAAAAATATAGTGAGGGAATTTTGTGAACATGTGAAAACAAAGGATATGTGAAAATGAAAGTCTTACTATTATAATTATACTCTTTCTAGCCATTATTGCAAAATAATAAACACTCATCATTTCTTATAGTGCCAAAAGCCTTATGAGCATGAATTAGCAATAAGTATCAGGTAAGCGTTATAATCCCTCTGGTCTGTAACACAGAGAAACTGCAGAAGTGTAAAATGACACAAACGTCCCTGCAAGTCAATGGTGGAGCTTTTTGGGGAAGAGGCCTTTTCTGTGTCCGGAGTTTTTCTGGCTCCTGGCCACTGCCCCAGTACAAATAAAGAATGGACTTCCCATCTTTGCTCATTCTTCTAAGTCTTGGTGCCTCCCATTACATGTGATTTTATCATTAATAACAAGTAAAATGTAAATACTTCCTTGACAATTTCTGCTGGTAACGCGATTGTAATCTGAATGCTCACATCCTTTGAAGCACATATTACAGGTACAAGTATGTGGCTTGCTAGCTTGGCATCGTTTGTTGCAGTAAGTACTATTTTTAATACCCACATGTGTACTTTGGCTAATACGTTGGTTATTTTATCCTTTGTTTTTTCAGCCACTACTTTTATACAAAACATGACCCGGTGCAGGTGTTTTATTAAAATTTACTTTCTTACAGTCATCTAAACCAAAAGCAAACTTCTCTCTTTCATATTACGTATATTTTACAGCTAAACACTTGCTATTTCCTGCTATCATCTCTACTTCTGAAGAACAATGCAAAGAAATCCTTTAGTTCCCTGTAATCTCCTTATCATCACTGATTAATGCTTTTACATTCTGATGGTTAAAACCACCATTAGGTGTCCTGGAAACTTTTCTCTTCTGAATTACTTAATTGGAGGTTTGATTCTTTTTACCTAGAGGTGTTACTTTTCTAGTATGCCCATAGTTCTGCTTATCTGTATTTCTCCTGACATTTTCTGTGGTTTCTTTCTGTCAGCCTCATCTGGGCTTGAACCCTATTGTCTTACAAACAACATTAAACAAATTCCTGTTACTTGTCTTTTAAACTAACTGACTTGTTCTTTGTTTTATTTTCACTTTCTCTCTTGTCTTTTTGCTCTATGCAATGAAATGCAGTGGGACTTCAAGAGGACTAATTTAATCAGTCTCAACTTTCCTTCAGGCTGCCTGTGGCTGGAGAAGGGCCCAAACTAAAACCATAAGGTCAACAGCCCTTCCTTCCTGTACCTTCCCCATCTACTGAACAGAGCAGTGTTGAAACTCTGTGCCCAAATCCACATACAAACTTTGCTAGTAGTCCCTAATTTCATAACGGATTAAGGTAAACTTGGTCTCAGATCAACTCTTTCTTCTAAGATTCTGGCTGTCAGCCTATCTTCATCTGGAACAACTTCCTATGTAACCCCTTGTACCACAGCATACAATTGTGCCTGGAGTTTGAATAGAAACCCTCTTCCCCTATAACTTGTGACAACAAAAATCAACATCATAAAAGAATAAAATGGGAGAGAAAATGAGAGGTGGAAGAAGATCTGGTGTCTGGTGCAGAAAACAATAAGTAAATATTCTGCTGAGAGTTTTGTGGAAATACTCTTAAGGTTTGGGTACTTTCTTCTGATTCTGCCCTCATTTCTGAAGCCACCAAGGGTCCGTTGTGCACAAGAGAGGCACATGAAGCCCTCCCTTATGTTACAGATGAAATTGCAGAGCAGTAAGAGAGGTCCAGGATTGCAGTTGGACTAAGATACCCCTGCCCGGGGTCTCAAGGAACTTGAAACCTTTCCTCAGGGAGAGGTTTCTTTCTCCTGGTTTGTCCTGGTTGGATTTTGCTAATGAAATCCTTCATGGGGACGCATTCAGTGGCTTGCCCTACAAGCAGCTCTAGGCTGTCCGTGTGTACTCTAATTCAGTGACACCTCTGCCTGTTTAACATACGGAGCACCAATATTTTAACAAACATTTCCTGCATATTTAAATTTTTGTTCTTTGATGCTGAAAACCACTGGCCCAGGTATCTGAGACCACTTCCTCTCTGGCAGCTACCATCCAGACAGGGGAATATTGCAACCAAAGCAAGAAAGATTATGAGAGCTTCCATGTGCAATCCAGGAAGCCAGAAAGGACTTCTGTTTCTAGAGTGCAAGCAAACAACCTGTACCAAATTTAAGTTTGGTGTTCCTATATATAATTTTCAGGCAAAGTGTGAGGCTGGGAGAAGGTCTGTCTGCTCTAGGGAAGCACTGTGACAGTGGTATCAGTTATGCAGTTCATGTACTACCCATTTAGATTCAGAGATGATACATCAGAATTTCCTACTTCTGAACAAATCAAGTTTTAGACAGATAGGAGATGCATTTTTGAAAACGTATATGCAAGAAAGAGGAGGGTAAAGGGCAGCAGGAAAAGTGCTGGCAATGCCTCACTGAAAGGGGAGCCCAGTCACCCCAAGAAACAGGGGCTGCTAATTCATGGAGGGGGAAAAAAGATCCCGGAGAGCCTGGGAAAAACAAACAGGTCCTTCTGGGGAGTGAACTGTTTTTCAGGATTCCTTGGCAGGCAACCAGCCACTCAGCTTTGTAAGGTCTTGTTCTTCCTTGCAAGGAGGAAAAAAATAACTGAAGAGCTCCTGTTTTATTGAATAAGGTCATCATAATGCGCTCAAAAAGACCAGTGCCTCTACTCCTCATTGTGAGAGCTATGGGGTGTAGCTGCACATTACAGGTGCTTGAATAAACAACATAACCATTTTCAGGAGAGGAGAAAATATATAAAAGAGGAGCTTAATGACTTCAGCCCAGCCAGCTTTTCCCCCAGTCTTCACAGCCCCCCTTCCCGCATCCCAAACCAATACCATTGCCTGTCTCCAAGTGCGTGACAGCAGAAAAAGGCCTTTTCTCCCACAGGAACAGCCAGTGCAACCCAGATAGGCTGTGGGGAGGTTTAACCCCTTCACCATCTGGCCACACACTGTGTATGACCACAGGAAGGCTGTGCCACATATTTATCTGTTTCCTGAGCTATACGCATTTTTCTTTTACTTACCTTCCCCATTCCAGCATGAGCATGTCCCAGCTTGACCACTACAGGGAAATTCGGAGTTGTGAGCTGAAAGACAAAAGAAGGAGCTCCTCATTAGTATTTCTTTACAGTCATTGTATTTGAAATAGTTTACTTAGTAGATTTTATCCCCTTCCTGGATGCTTATGGGAGGATAAAAAGGTCCAGTAAAGATTATTCAGGTGGTAGGACCATAAGCAAATAGCTCTTCATATGTTCAGAAATGGAGGCCAGGCAAATTCCTCAGATCTGACCCACTTTTGCTGCCTGACAGCAGTAACCTCTAAAACCTTCTTAATTTTTCCCATTGCTTTTCCCATATGGATATGCATGTAAAAAAAGCTGCATTTGCAAGCTTGAGTAAGTGAACACTTTCAGGTGCTGAAAACAGAATTGTGAGGAAGACAAAGGTCTTTTTTTTTTTTTTTCCCACACAGACTATTTTGGTCTCTAAAGTGAGTGTGAGCAGTCCCTCAGCAGCTCCCATTCTCCTCCCATCAGCAGTGTTGGGGGCAAGGAGAGAGGGAACAGTGGCCAACCCTTGGGTGCTACTCACAAAGTCCATCTATTCATAAACCCTCTTCCTCTCTTCTCTGACTTCAGGGGTGGGTGCAGGGAAATAAAGGAGAACAAAGAAGGGCTGGGATCAGCAATAAAAATAGAAAAAATTATATCATGTCTTCTCCCTGGCTTGTGTGGTATTTACATTGGGCAGGGTTCTGCCATCCTAGCCATGCTAGTGCATCTTAGTTTTACTTGGAGAACTGCAAGTATTCTCTCTGCCTTCTATCCCCAGTTTCATGCTCATTCAAGGATTTACTTGGAGTGATCGGCTGAGAGCTGGGTGGCTGGACTGGTAGGAGGTGCCCATGCCAGGATGTATACACCACACCTCCCCTGTGTATTGGTCAGTCCATTTCTACACCTCTTCTTGCCATCCCAGTGATCTTCATCTTGTCCTCTGCTCCTGATTCTTGTGATCTAAACGCTATCCCTTCAGTACTTAACCTGTTATTTCATTTTCTTTAATGGGAATTCTTTGAAAAGATATTTTTGTCCTTACCTAAATGCCTGAGGCGATGAGCTCTATTTGTTAAGCAATTAACCTGGAGATCTGGCAATGTGAGGGAGTTGAATTTTGACAGATAAATGGCTCTCATATTTATTTAAGTTTGAGAATAGAGAAACAAATTGTTCTTGTGCTAATTACCAATTGTCTGTATGGACAGTCAGGCACTACGCCCTAAAGATAGAATGGTGGTGCAGTCTCCATCTGTGGCAGCTCGCTATAAATAACAAAATTAGTAATGAACACTGATATGTTTTGCTATTCAGCTGCTTATGTAAGGAAATGTCACAGGAGAGGGGAACAGTGAGTGCATCACATTCTCAAACAGCTTGTGTTAGTTGCGAGGACCTTCTTCAGGCAGAAAGCTGAAGGTTCCTCTTCGGACCACAGAAGGGCACACAGCTGCAATATATCACAGTGCTGGCATAGGCAGGGACCAGCAGCCGCTGTTTCAGTAGAGGCAAGAGACTGTCATAGGTGGCCATCCTGAAGCCCCATAGATAAGCATTATATCCAGGTGCATGACTTTGTGTTCTATTTCCCCTTTTCCTCTCTAATTCATTTTAAGAGCCTGAAACTTAATTTGCTGCTGGTGTAAATGAATCAAATGGAGGACTGCACCTGCGGCTTACTGAAGATAGGGCTATAGATGGACCATGGCAGGCCTTTAATGCTAGAAGATGAAAGGTAACCTAGCAGTTAGGGCATCCACCTGCTCAGGCTCTGAGAGACCTGGCTTACTGCCCAGTTGTGTCATCCATGCCCCATGCACACTGTTTGAGCCAAAGCACTTGCAAGCCCTGGCCTCTGTTCCCTGTTTGCGAGCAGGGGAGGCAGCTGTTCCTACCGCACAGGAAAAGCAAGCTGCATGCTGCGAGCTGGCCTGATACCCTGGCACAGAGGCCAAAGAAATGTGCAGGGTAGATAATGTTATATCACCAGCTCAAAGCAGCCAGAGGCAGGAAGCAATGTCTTTGCTTCCCCATCTGTGTACCCTACCTGTGAGTTTTGCTGAGGGAGCCTGGCTCGAGCATGGAGCCCAGGAGCGGGAAGCATCTGTTTTCCTGTGTACATGCAAAGAAAGTTTGGGATCCAATAAACAAGCCAAGTTTACTCCTTGCCTAGAATAAACGACTGGCAATGACAATGCTTTGCTCAAACCTGTCCCTTTCTCTTTGCTTCTTGGAAACATGAGCTCAGCTTTCTCGATAAGGCTTGGCCTCATCCCGCGTAGGGGTGACCAGCTGGTGCCAGAGCATGCTGGAGACACAAGCTGCTTGGCCTGGCCACAGTGCATGGGGCTTGGGGTAAAATACAGATCCAGACTCTCAATGTGTGGCAGCCTCACTGGGAAAGCTGTAGCTACAGAGAAATGCTGGCACACAGTTTGCCAGGAATCTGCTTCTGCCACTGAAACCCCACCAAATTTCCATGTACATGAATCTGCTTTATGGAGGAACCAAGGAGGGAGAGCAGCTCATACATTTAGCTGCATTTTATAGTGGGCTTATCTAGTGACAATGGAGTGCCCTTAGTCTGTGCTGAAGTTAAATGGAATTGAAAACTCTCAATAGTCCATAGGACTAAAGCAACCAGAATTCACAACTGCCTGATAAAGGAGGGAGGGAGCCCTTTGTTGAAGTGGTGGAAGAGGGCTGAACTCCACTGCAGTCAATGGGGATACTTCCAGCTTCCACCAGAGTCTTCCTGGGACTTGAGTCCCTTTTTGTTGCTAATAAGGTGGCCAGCCAGCATACTTGGCAAGCACCCAGATGGACAGGGAAGCTGAAGAAAGTGAGACTGTATTATACACATGACTATGAGGCAGTTCACAGACATACGTGGTGAGAAGTTCTGGGGGTGGCCATGGCCACCACAAGGGCAGATGCGAGATGAGTATTTACACATACTTAGTCATTGATTTCCTGGGAAAGAAGATGCTTATAATCAAAGGATAGCACCAGAGTTTAATAAGGAAAGCATGTTTTTAGTGAAATCATGCAAAGAAATGTCTGTGTCTTTCTATGTGTTTGTTTACGTGATGTAAGGGCTCTTTTTATTGGAAAAATGAGGAAAAACACTTTGATGCTTTTAAAATGTGCATGAGCTGTTGACAGGACTGGTATAGATGATATCCCTTGGTTTTGGGATGGGACTATAGCACTGCAGCTAGCTCAGTGATCATACGCAGGGTATTAGTTCATATGGATGAACTAACTCAGCCCTTTGACTTAAAATCCTACAAATGCATTCCCAGATGCTTTCACACAAAAACCTCGAGATGGCAAGGCACAGGAACATGATATATGAAGATGCCTGTTTAGAGTCAAGCAGGATTTTGAATCCTGAACTAGGAACTCAGCAAAGCCATTTTTGGTAGGAGTAGAGAGTCATGAAGCTATTTCCAGCTTACAACACTGGTGGTCCCAAGTATATCATTTTAGCCCCTGATTTTAAGGGCTCTGCTCTGTGTGTAGTGTCATTGAAAAGATCACTTTGCAGTCAATCAGTATTTTGGCAGTGGTGTGTAAAAGTGAGTGCCGGTATGCATACATTAGCCTCTATTTGAAAACACATGGCTGTAAACTATGACACTTTCCCCTTTACTCTCTTCCCCTTCTTTCCAAGAAATAATGAGGTTTTCAATACTTCTTGTAAACATATAAATATTTTTTATATTTATTGCTGATGAAGCAGTAGAACAGAGTTGGATATAAATTGATCTGAAGGGAGGAATCTTAGGTGAAACCTGATCTATCCCATAAATACAATGCTTTCCACACTTTTCTTTCACTGAGACTCTCAAGAGAGATGCTGATCTTAGGTGTGTGGTTTTGTGCACTGTCCTGTTGTCCATAAACAATGTAGAATGTCTGTTTTGGTTTCCTTCTGCCATGTTTACTTTTGTGCATTAGTTCACATTACCCGGCTTGTCTCATCCCATGCACTTGCAGTGTCCAGTGTTACTCTTTTTTCTGCAAAGCCTTTCCAGTCAATGCTAGAATGAATAGTCCAGGGTGCAATGACACATGGATGACATTAGAAGGATATGGGGAGATGGGAGATGGAGACATTAAAACTTTGTTCTCTTGGCACTAGTATTTTATTATGGTAGCATCTAGTGTTTTCAAGCAGGCCAGAAGCCCCCATAGCAAAAGGTACTGTAATTTTTGCTTCACCCTTCCCCCAGAAGTAATACTTAGATTTTTTTCAAGCTTTTATACTCTAAAGCTGACCTTTCTGTTTATTTAGCTGCCTTTACTTGCACGATGACAAAGTATGTTCTGGGTGGGTACCTAATGGATTATGGGAATGTTGTTCATGCACTTGAGAGCTAAATGTTGAAAGTAATGTGAGGCACTTCCCTCATGTCAATTAAGTTGGAGGAGCAGTGAATATATATGATTTCCTGTAAAAGCAAGCAAGCTGATTCAAACCTACAGGAAAGTAATGATGTCATGATACAATGTCATTGTGTTTATGGAACAATCTTACTGAAAATCTGAACTGGAGATCAGTGCTGGATGCATGCCGGCCTTGCCAGACATGGCAAAGTCAGGACTGTATAGTGAAATATGGAGGAGAAGCAGTAGTGCTCCCTATTATTCACTTATTCATGAGTTGATCTAATCACCAACTCCAAGCAGAATGGCTCGCTCAGTGGATTAGTACTGTGGCCCTGTGGAGGTTTGTGGTGGCCAATGACTATGACAGACAAGTCCTTCCCCTCTTTGCTCTTTATCAGATCAGAAATAGTGCAAGAAACATCAAGCAATGATGGTAGAACATGTTGAACAATAAGAGTTGCCAGAATTAACATCTGTGCTCTATTAACGATATGTGATATGGATTTCTTTAAAACACATATGTGCATATTCATTACTGTAGTATAATTATAATACAATGAAGAAAAAGTCATTAGCTGGGGAAAGAGGGCCTATGCTTCCAAGCCAGCTGAAGTAAATCCTAAGGA